TAAAGCTACTGGAAATTTAAAATTGACTAATTTACTATGACGTATTTTATGAAGAAATACGACTTTACTGACTGCATATTCTGCGAATATGCGAGCGCAAATCTGTAACTAATAAAACAAGTAGGTATAGAAACCAAATAGTGTGACACATTTTCTGAAATTAGGCATTAAGTATTATAATACTTTTAAGCTATTGCATAGATTTTGTCGCGGGCTTTGAGCGCGGCGACCGAATCAAGAAATTCCGTAACGAAAATAACCTGACAGCAGTGCATATGAACACAAGTTTCGCCTTTCCAGTATCGATCGAAACGGTGTAGTGTGTTAAATTTTTGCCACGGGACCAACATTCGATGCATCACTGCGGTCGTCGGTTCAAATCCCGCACTCGTATTTTTTATTATATTTTTTTCCTATTTTTTCTATATTTGTTTTAGACCCCAGAACCTGCTTGTTGACTACAGAAAACTATATAGTGTCAGTATGTCAATTATTGTCATTATTTTGCTAAGTCAAATAAATACGAAAATCTTTAAGCTATATTTATTACACGATACGAACCAGCCTCTCCACCATTAATATTTGGTCCTTCGAGCGACTTAAGAGACGTGGAATCGAAGTAAGGTATTCTTTACAAAATGTTGACTCGATCAAAAGAAAAAACGATGATCAGCCGCTGACTTCAGCTCATTGGGCGGAGAATTCGCCCGATAACGCCCACCCACCTGGCACTACATCCACCAGATCCTTCAGGAAGTCAACCAGCAGCTCATTGAGGTCAGTTTTATCTGTTGACGCACAAAAAAAGAAACTCGAGTTGCAAGAAAAGAAAGCGCGTCTACTCATAGCAGCTCAAGAGGCAAAGTTGAAAGCCGAAGAGGCAAGGTTGAAGGCCGAAAGGGAATTGGAGATGGAAAAGATCAGGATGCAAGTGCAAATGCAGCTTGTGGAGAAAGAGCTTAGCGCTGGTATAGCTGAGTTGGAAAAACGACGGTCACGGTCACACATTAGTAGAGCCTCAATAAGTTCTGTAGCACAGAGAACTCTGGACTGGGTATCGCAACATAATGCCCCTCATTATACCACTGTGATACAAGATGCGCAATATCCAGAACCCGCTACACGTAATGAAGCCTCTTCTACCCAAGATGCGATACTGAAGTTAGCTGACGCAGTGCACAACCTAGCAGGAGGAAACGCACGTAACAACAGCCAAATGACACCGGCTGACAAAATGTTGAGTCGCATGTCGACACCTAAGGACCTGCCACTATTCAAAGGTGACCCCAGAGAATAGCTCCACTTCAAAAGTTACTTTGATGAGTCTACGAAATTATGCCAGTTCTCGAACGCAGAAAATGTATGTCGCCTACATAAGTGTCTGACTGGTGAAGCTAGAGAATGCGAATCGGCACTTTTAATGGGCAAAGTTACCGTAGAAGACATCATCAAAACATTGGAACTCCGTTTTGGTCGCCCTGAAATAATCATCAATAAAATTGTAAGTTCTATAAAAAAGATTCCGTCATTACTGCTGTCATACCATACTGACATAGTAACATTTTCAATCAAAGTCAAGAATTGCATAGTCGCTGTCAAAACTATAAAAGAGGATGATTATTTGAAAAGTACTGAATTGTCATCAGTTATTCTTTCAAAATTACCATGCAGTTTGATTACTCGTTGGGCAGACTATGCTTATGAAAATAAAGGCCGATGCCCACATATGACAAAAGTTGAACAATTATCGGATTTTTTATACACTGAAGCTCAAAAAATTTCTGATATTGAAGTGTCGTTGCTACAAACTTTAGCTAAAAAACTGGAACATAATGTCACCCATTTCAACATTCAGAAGCCTCAAATGGTGCTAGCACAGACCACAGAAGCGACAAATAAATGCCGATTTTGCGGTAAGCGCTCTGATCATGATATTGTAAATTGTAAAAAGTTCCAGCGCGCCCTCGGGAAGGATAGATGGTCTTTTGTTCGCACTGACCGACTTTGTCCTAAATGTTTAGCTAGCAACCACGACAAGGATACCTGCGAAGCTCCTGTTTGCGATGTTGACGACTGCGGGCTACCGCATCATAAGATCTTACACTGGCCCACAAATGTCAAGACTGTTAATGCTACACTGGACGCAAACCCTGATGATTCTGCTCCCGCTGATTCTAACGGAACTGAAGATTGCGTAGCGAATGTTACGTCCACGATAAACTCTGTCACATGTTCCAATGTATTTTTCAAATATTACGGATACGGATTCAAGGCCCTAATGGTGAAATTGTCACTGATGCTCTCTTAAACGAGGCTCTACCATAACATTAATTGACGAGAGAGTCGCTGATCAGGCTGGATTGAAAGGTCGCACTCAAAGATTACACGTACGAGGAACTTGGGACAGTAGAGTCCTGTCTTGTGAAACTGAATTATTAGATTTGGAGATTTCCGGTTGTAATTTCGATCGATATAATATTGTAGCACGAAAAATAAAAGGACTTCATTTGCCCGGTCAGTACAGTCAGCCTGAACTCTATGAGCACCTATCAGGTATCAAAGATTACTTATGCTCCGGACTCATGAAGCCTGCAATGATAATTGGAAAAGACAATTACCATCTTCTGGCGCCGCTGGAAACTATTGATGGAGATCCCAACGCCACTCGAACTGTCTTAGGTTGGAGTATACATGGAAAATCATACGGGCACCCCCACCGAGCCCACAAAACCACCAATGCTTGCATGCTACTGTAAATGCATCGCGATAGCGAAAGCGATCGCTGCCATGATGAACTAGAGGATCTAATTAGGCGTTCGTATGCACTTGATGCTCTTGGTGTTAGCCTCCAGCCACGGCAGTGCACAGATGACGTCGAAGCGGTCAAAATCTTGGATATAACCTTAAAGCAAATCGGAGACTATTGGGAAGTTGGTCTGCCCTGGAGAGACGAATCTGTCAAGATGAAGGACTCGTACCCTACTGCTCTGAGTCGTTTCCACGGTGTAGAGAAAAAGATGCGTATGAACCCTGACTTTCAGTAAAGATACAAAGAACGTGTACAGCGTCTACTTGAGAATAATTATGCACATGCCTGTACCAATCCTAAAGTGTCTCGCCAAAAAGATGCGTATGAACCCTGACTTTCAGAAAAGATACAAAGAACGTATACAGCATCTACTTGAGAATAATTATGCGCATGCCTGTACCAATCCTAAAGTGTCTCGCCTCTAGAAGCCCTTTCTTTAAGTATGGCTTTAAGGGTTGATTTTACACTCCGTATTAATCTTTCCCATACACCCCCATATGGTTAAGAGGCGGATTAAAATGCCAGTTAATTCTGTAAGTGGGTGTTTCTTCTTGCAACTTTCTCAGCTCAGCGTTTGCTCCACGTAGATTAGTTCCATTATCGGAGTATAAGTCCAACCTCGTCTCGCTGCCATTCTTCACAAGGCCATTATTAAACTTTGGGCGCGATGGTTGAAGGAGGCGCTGCCCTGCCTGATCCCTAGAACCACAATGTCTTCGAGTGACGAGCAATAACGAGTCGGTGATGTCGTTTTGGTAGTCGACCCTACTTTGGAGAGAGGGTTCTGGCCTCGCGGAATCATAGAGGCTATCTATCCAGGATCTGATGGCCGAGTACGGATCGCCTACGTGAGGACGTCGCGTGGCACGCTGCGCCGGCACTCCGCTGCGCGTCTGGCGCGCCTGCCATCTCACCCCGGGGGGAAGAGTGTTGGCTACAGAAAACTATATAGTGTCAATGTGTCACTTATTGTCATTATTTTGCTAAGACAAATAAATACGAAAATCTTTAAGCTATTTTTATTCCACGTTACGAACCAGCTTCTCCATCATTAATACTGTTCTTATTTTTATTTGTCTCCCTTTTATTTCGACTTCATAATTATAATTTAAAATTTTGGACTAAAGTTGGTAAACTGTGGAGCTTGTGGAAGTTTTTTGGCGTCGGGCAATGCTGCTGTTTGCTGTGCTTGCCCAATAAAATATCATAAGGCCTGCCTCGCCACCTTGAATTAATATAAAAAAACTGCATAAATAAAAGAAATAATAATTATAATTGCATAAGTTGATAAATAATGCTATGCAATAGCTTTACCGCGGCAGTCCCCAAGTGCCACACGTATTTTTTTTTATAGATAGGTCCGACAAGACTCCACCCAAGTTGAAATTTATATATATGTTTGTTTAAGCGATTTAAAGTAAGTAGATAGAATGCCAGGTTCTGGCTCAAAAAAATGAACTACGAACGAATAAATTCTATGAACATTTTTCAGTTATCGACATTTGTGGACGCGCCAGCTAAATTCAACAAACTTCGTTACTAACTTATGTTTTATAACTTTTTTTTTACTTTCTTTTGTGTAAGGTTGATTTATACTCTTAAACTTCGTTTTCTGAAAAATTCATGGACGAGTTATTGATGACCATATTTCAAGGAATATTTTCCTTTTGTCAGATACTCACTTCATTGCATAAAAAAATATTATTCGAATTCCTTGTGGGAGGCCAATATCCAGCAGTCCAGTCTCTCGGCTGAAATGATGATGATGATGAAATGCACCAATGTTCATCTATCTTTCTCAGATAAAACCGCTATTGGTGATGTGAACACGAATTTTTTACATTACTAGTTCAACAATTACATGGCCAGTCCTGAATTTTCTTGCTTACATTACGTATTTTGGTTCTCAAAAATTTGATAGTATATCATTTAAAAACAATTTGTAGGCTTTGATTATTTATTCATTTGTTTACAAATAAATCTTGTACTAACACGAACTTTAAAAAAGATAACAGTATTATGGCATATGTTCAAGGGACCTTATATGATATTAAATAAGAAAATGTATTTGCTGAAAGCGTTTAACTCACACAAATAGAAAATAAAACACAGCACATACATTACCTGATTTATATCAGGTTTATACACAGGCACAGATCACTTAAATTATATCTCACTTAAGAATAGGAAGAACACAAATACGAGTAAAGTACCTACAAGTATCCCTAGGTACTGTAGGTATTTTGTCTTTCAATTGTGTATTAAATATATTGAAATGAAATGTAAATGAATGAAATGAAATGAAAGACCTTTATTGGCCATCTTATATACAAAATTAAAACCTACTAAATGAAACAGAAAAAATAAAAAAAGAAACTTAACTTTAGAACAAAAATTATGCACTAAAACTAAGACGGCCAATCAGGACCCTGCCTCAACTTAACTTAAAATAAAAATTGGTGTGATTGTATGAAACCACGATGCAAGTATAATTTTGAAAGTTTTTTACATCGCCACAGTTTGTTTCTGGCTTAAAAGAAACGGAAAATAAAATTAAAATAGCGTGCATGAACAACACATCTGAAGTAAAACTTCTTTTTATTAAATAACCTAAAATTGGGCGGTATATAAGGCATATGGAAATGGAGCAGCGCACGCATCACTCATATACATATATGTGTGTATAAATATTGTAGCATGTGACGCTCGTAGCGTTTCAGCCTTCTCCAACTTTCATGCTCGTTAGGAAGAGTTGCGCACGCATCCTACATACATATACACACGTCACAGTTGTGTGACGCGCGTGACGCATTTCTGTTTCATCTTTTCCATAGGATTTTTCATTTACACCCCGTCCGAAAAGAAGTTTCACTTCGAAAAAGTCTCTCCTCGGCTGGGAATCGAACCCGGACCGCCCGCGTAGCAGGCGAATTTTCTAACACTGAACAACCAATGCTAGTTAATAAAGTCTGAATTTTTCAATAACAATTTAAAATGTAATGCTACATGCTAAAGATGACCAAATAACTATAATATCTTATGTATATTTATTTAAAAATAAAGATAATATTATGGGTATGATGGTTACATTATAAGAATCAGTGAATTCGATGTTGCCCAATGAACTGATATTCTGATAAAGCATTAAAATTACAATAATAAACATCCTTAAAAAATATCTACGTATAAGAATAAGATCACTACAAAAATAGTTATATAGGCCGCACTAAAATTTTTGGAACTGACCAATGGCTGGCTTAATTTTTTTTAACCAATAATCCTGAGCAATTAAATATTTCAAACGTTTTTTTTAGTTAAATCAATCGTCCTTATTTAGAATGCAGTTGGATTCATCTTTGTCTTGTTATAGTACTTTTTTCTTATTCAATCCGGTTTGTTTTTGTGTGCCCTACTTATTACGCTAAGTAACTTCATTGACTTCTCCTTAATAAAGTTACTAGAAATGAGGAAACTTAAATTTATTTTATTTGATGCAGTTCCTTTTTTGTAAACTGGGATTACAGTAAAGGTACTATACTCCCTAAAGAATCAGCGTAGTAGTCTGGCCGTAGAGTTGGGTGTGCTAGCATGTCTTCTTTGCTGTTGTTAGTTAACACCAATAAGGTCTTGAATCCCGTAGCTTTTCCAAGGCCTACGTCTTGTTCAATCCTGTAAAAGGAAATTGTTGTAAATTTTCAAAAGTTTCTTTAATAATTACTTATTTTTATATTAGTGCATGAAGGGAATAGTTACCACTGTTCACGACTTTTATTCAACGTGACATCTTTATGCGTACCGGAGACGATCAAGTCGACTTGACATGTATTAGGTGATTGACGGTCACTTGATAAGCGACTTGACATTCTTTGATAGAGCTGTCAAGTGCGCATGCTACAGTTGCCTACCTACCGTGCTCATGACATGAATGAAGTCGTTGCAAAAATAAACTGCCAAGTGCGAGTCGGACTCGCGCACGAAGGGTTCAGTTCCATTATTTATACAACATTAGACACTATTTTAAAATATCGAGCAAAAAACGGCAAGAACTTCACTTCTGTTGTAAGGTAGGCCCCTCAAATATTTACATTTTTTTTAAATTATTTATTTTTAAAATGAAAACCTATTGCCGTTATTTTTATAGAGCAAATAATCACGTTTGTTGTATAGAAGTCCCCCTTCAATAATTGTTAGTTAGACAGATAGACAGTGAAGTCTTTGTGATAGGGTCCCATTTTCAGCCAAATTTGTCATTACTGTACCGGTATCTACATTATTTGTTAATGCAATCGGCCATTTGCGCTTGTCAGCATACCTACTCCTTACTTTTATTTATTTATTTATGGATCATCAACAGAGCTATATCAACACAAAGATACTAACTCACACGTCTAATTATTGGAATACAATGGTACTGCAATTAAAAGTGGCCTCATCATACGCTAAACACTTAACAGTAACAATAATAAGTTATTTTTACACTAACTACACATAAAATTTACCAGGCAAGACAAAATATTGGTCTAAACACGGCACAATCCTCTGAATCCAAAACCAGACACAACAACAGTTTTCGTCCAAACATTATAATGTTTGGACGATTCAAAAGTGTTGTACTATACATCCAATTTGAATAAAGATATATTGATTTGATATTGACTATAAGTATAAAGACTAAGATGTTATGTACGGCCGCTGACCAACGGCACCTAACCCCACGGGGGCGCATCCCTGCGAGAAGCAGCCCGGGGAAAGAAACCAGTTTGGAACCCGAACCCATCCAAAGATGGAAGATCACGAACGCAATGATACACTCATAACTACAAAACTAAACTCACATGTCACCGATGAAGAGCACTCTGCTTGGATCAGTCACGCCCGCCCGTTTCATCGCAAACTCGCCGAATAGTTTACCCGGCTTGCCCAACTGAACCGGTGGACGTTGCACTTCATGTGACACTATATCCGTGAATATCCCGGTACCTGCAACATATGAAATAATTATATACCTACCTACTATTAAAATGTAGAATGGGGGTATATACTTTTCTTATTAGTAATGTTATGTATGTAAAACCAATGACGAATGGGTTGGGATGCGACCAACAGCATACACACGCAAAAAAGACCTGGATTTGTCTTAATTTGCAGCAGTTTGCAGAAAATTTTGGTCATAAAAAACACTGGGAAGATTGATCTGCTTCTGGAGCGGTAGGCTGGCTGGAATAATAGGCCGCCATGGCTTACGCACAATAGTCAATCTAAAAGACTATGTGCGGAATGCGGAACCACAATCCGTACGTAATACAGAACATAGTCATAAAAAATTTACTTTTTACTGATATATTCCTTTTGTGAAAAAAGATCATCAGTAGGGACTAAAACAAGGGTAGAGAATAGGATCTCAATAGACAAAGCAAATTCCTAGTATCATATATTCAATACTATATAAGCGGTTGTGTCCGCTCATTTTGACGACTTCTGTGGCCGAGTGGTTTATACGCCGGGTTTCATGGTGTCGCCGACTCGAGAGGTCCCGGGTTGGAATCCCGGTGGGAGCAGATGTTTGTGTGATGAATACGAGCATTGGTACTCCAGTCATGGACGTTTAATATTTATGTCTATATAAATATACTTATATATGTACAATATATGTATTCTATCCATTACCCTAGTATCCCATAACACAAGCCTTACGGTGCTTACTTTGGGGCTAGGCTAATTGGTGTGAGTGTTGGAAATATAAAAAAACCCCGTATCCCAGTAGCAAGCTGGGAGAAACGATTGTTAGCCGCCATATTGTAATGAAAATAAATCAAACGATAAAAGTTATAGAAAACAACAACTACTACTACGTACCTAGAATCAGGCATCCGGGTTTGCACTGTACGTAGGCGTCCGTCGCCCCGTTTATAAATAGCACCTCAGGTCGTCTCAGGTACGTCATAGCCTTATAAAGCCTCGGCAGGTTCACTCTGAAGTCGCTGTCAAACACCACCGCTCCCACGTCAAGATCGTCCTCCAGATATTGCGAGTAGGTCATGTAGTCATCTGAGCCGGCGTCTGTCTGTGACAAACGAATTTCATTGGTATTTGAATGCCCGTTTTTATTCAGAGTTTAGAAAAGCAGATAACGTTTGAAGTAAGTATATAATCAACTATTAAAAAAATACGGTATAAATTTATCTTATAATTTGACGAATTTTCAAAGGTGATGCTTCAAAGCAAAATTGTAAAAAGTCTCTGCCATATCTCAATGATGTCATATTTGATTAAGTTGGGTATAATAAAATTTCTTAAATAATAAAAATATTGACTCTGATCCATATACATTCATACCTTGCAAATTAAATTAATAGATTCTGTTGATGTTAATCGAGATCCTATCAAGGCTTCACCCTTGTCAAGATTCTTAATATGACAAAACTTACTGTTTCAAAACATTGAAATCCAGCTCTTTCTAGTACACAAGACGTCTGGACGCTGGCCACACAGTAAACTTTTTTGTTGAAATTCAAAAGTTTCAAATACTCAGCTATCGCTACTGACGGAATTGTGAGATTTTTCTGAGGACAAAAGTATTAAAGTAACATTTGCACAAAGAAAAATAATGATGATGATGATTTACAAAAAGAGTAATTTCGAGTTTGTTATTGATATTTCTATGAATTATAACAGTAAATTGATAAAGGAAACGTATACGTGTATTTTTAAACTTATGTTAATGGTATTGTTATGTGCCAAGAATTAAAAGAGCTGCCGACGTGAGTATTAACGACCGTCTTAAAGTTAACGTGTATAACAAACAATAAATACTCGGCTGAGTGAACTGACATATTCAATTTGTTTGTTACAAAATATCGTATAAAAGAAATTCAATAATAAAGGCCCCAGATGAGACACTTGTGAAACACTTGTCGAAGTATTGGTAAAAATTGATGATGTTTTTTTCAAATTTAATTGAACATCCAAAAATATTTTGGTCTGCATTCGCAGTAACAACAAAAGATATGGAAGGTTTAACTTCATTTGTAATTATATAAAATGTTTAATAGGTAATTATATAGATACTCACAAAACCATTTTCTATTTGTGCCGATTGAAAATGTTCGTCATAATCTTGCTGCGTTCTCAAACTATTGTTTGATACATAATGTACACTTTTCCCGTGTTTTTTCATTAGTTTGAAGAATTCTCCAACTCCCGGTAATGGCCCGCTTGACCATATTACACCTGTAACAATAGTGTTTAAGATACTTAGTATTTTGCCATATACAAGTCAGTGCCCCTTCATACTTTCTATGTATAAAAAAATATAATAAATATTGTAACACACACATACACACACCAATTAGCCTAGCCCCAAAAGATGCACTGAGGCTTGTGCAATGGGATACTAGAGTAACGGGCAGAATACATATCATCATCATCTGCTGGAGCACAGGCCTTCCATGTGGATGGAATATAATGGTGGAATGACCCACCACGCGGGCCTAGTGCAGATTGATTTGACCGGTTGCAATCTGAACTCCTCCTAATCGACTGGATCGCTTTCAATGAAATTGTGTATGTGGAGTGGGTGTCTAAAATTAATCTTAACAACTTTCGTACATGGCGACCTCCATGCCTCGAGTGGTATGTACGCCGGTTTTAAAGGTATCGCCTACTTAGAGGGGTCCTCTGAATGAATACGAGTATTTGTACCCAACTCATGAATTTGTATGTATTTCTTAAACTATATACTTATATAATGTGTATGTATTCATATTATACTGATACATTATATAAGTAATCAGTTATGACTTATGGGTTTATAAGATTAATTTTCGATTTAGGGATCCGTTCGCGAAATATTAAACTTTAAAGTGTTAATTGTTAAACTTTAAAGAGTAGAACGCCTCCTCTAAAAACTTAACTATTGGCTTCAAACATCTGGAAAAATGCAAGATAATAGTGCTTCTCATAAACTTTGACGAAAATGAGAACGGTTAAGATAGATTAGTTACTTTAAGAGTAAAAGTCGTTCAACTTATGTATTGGAAAATTTCTTACCTAATAAATAAATCTTAAGAAGAAATCTTTAAAAGTGACTTACATGTAGTTATTCTTTAAAATAAAAGCTCCTTCTGAAATATATTGCGGTAACGACGGGCAACTACGGAACCCTACACTGCGCGTTGCACGACACACACTTGGCCGGGTTTAATTGTACGTTTCCGAGTCCAATAAATAAATAAATATTTATCCACCGGGATTTGAACAACCTCTCGAGTCGGCGACACCATGAAACCCGGCGTACAAACCACTCGGCCACGGAGGTCGCCAATGCGCACCAAGTCGGTCTTTTTTTATTTAAACTTGTTTCAATCTCTCCGTAAATTGAATATCACATTCAACGATAAATTTAATATTGTCTGGGCTGCATGTGAGCTCTACTCACTAATAAATGATGTTAACACGGTGAAATTCCTTTTGAAAGTCTATTTGTAGCGTGTGTTGAAAACTTGTTCAAAATGGTGTTTTAAAATAATTCTCGTTGTTAATTCGTTTAATATTAGAATGTAGCTTCTAATAGTTGATAAGTGGCTTAGGTTATTTATTTTGAAGAGAAACTTTTTACATAGCTACAATATTTTCGTTAGTCTTAAGCATGTCGCACAATGTCGCATTACATTTTTATTGCTATTAATTAATTCAGACCTCATCAACAAGCATCAGTAATTCAGTGGTAGAAAGATCTCCTTGCACGCGGGCGGCCTCAGTTCGATTAGCAGTTGAGGACTCTTTGTTTTCATTTTCCACTTTGTATAAGCCAGAGACACGTATTTTTTTTTCATTTTGCATCAATCAGGTATTGATTGGCCATATATTTCGATAAGCTCATCCATCAACACAAGGCGCTGAATGCCAAAGGATGAGCAATCAAAGAACACATGAGACAAAGACATGGTTCCGCGCTCAATTCAGGATCTTCTTTTAAATAGCTGTACTTATTTATCTTTATTTAAATTTATTATTAACATTGTAGGGTAAATTTAAAATTGTAGGTTATGTCATATGTTACTCATTATTTTGTTTTGTCTTTGTAAATATTTATTCAAGTGTTCAAATATTGTGTTACAGTCTTTATAACTTGGAAATGTTTTTCTTTATATAGGGTGAAATGCTGTAAAGTTCTGGGTATTGTTGTCTTCTGTCATTATGACGGTCTTTTAGTTGCGTTCTTTATATATATATATATATTATTCTTCAATATAAAATAAAGTAAAGACGAGGCTGTACGGGCTTTAGTTTCCCTTGCCATCCCTAAAAAGGGAGAATAATTTTAAAAAATCAATCAGGTACTTAGTTTCGGAAGCTTCTGTTACGCCTTAATTGTCTTACCTATACACCTGAATCGTTAGTATTATTTTTTAATCGTTTAGCAAATAATTGAAACATAGTTATTAATATTCGGACACGCAACTTAAAACAGGGAACGACCAGGAGCTCTATTTTTGAATCACTCGTCTTGCGTGAAACGCTCGATTTCTACTAAATTTCATTCGACATAATTAATTCCGTATTTTTGAATCGCTCGAGTGCAACGAATGGGAGAGACCACTCGCTGCATGGCGAATGGTGGAGGCGAATGATAGAATAATTGTCAATATTTTTGTGCAATTAGACGACGATAATCTATAATTGTCATGCTTTATATAAAAAGACAACGAGAATTTTTGTTCGGTTTTCATTGCGGTTATTACCGGTTTTTATTTTTACTGCATGAACTGAGTAAAATTTTATATTTCGTATTAAACAGGTAACACCGGTAACGAATGATTCAAAAATACGGAAAATCAGTATTATGCGACTTGAAAGTCGAAGGTGACTTATGTCGCATTCGACGATACTATGTCAGACGAGTGATTCAAAAATAGAGCTCCAGAGACTGTAACTTCTCGAAGATGTTGTTAACAGCATGAAAGGTCGCGTCACCTTTACAAGGAGAACGAAAAAGAACATGATGTAAAGAAAACTTTCAAAGTTTTTTTTTTCGCCTGAATTTTCGGTTCGTTTATCTAAAAGTTATTCCTCCGCGCAGGCAACATAAGGAATATCTCTGTATTATACCCGATTATTTGACATCTGATTACAGCTGCTTAAGATGGCGGCTTATGAAACTAATGAAACACGTCAAGTTAGACCATAGACCAATAAGAAAATAGCAGAGATATTTCCCTATATTAAACTATATCCCTGGATACACTGTCCCCCACTTATCTTATACATAATGAAGGTAATCGTAATAATGACACGTGATTTCGAAGTAATTATTGGTATAATTACAATCATCATAATGACCTGACTCAATCAACAAGGGGTTCTTACAGTTAGTTCATTGCTCGGTAGAATTATCATTAAGGTCATGCCCAAAAGGTCACTTAGACCGTCTGTAATAATACTTCATAATATTGTTGAGTCTATGGCGACTGTAAATAGAATATTTGCCCACCACTACCTAATCATTAATGCTTAATTAAAATATAAGCACCTTTAATTAATTAATTAGAAGTATTTATTGTTTTTGTTGTTGTCAAAATTGGTCAAATAATAATTTATGTATGCGTCAACCTATATATCATTACCTACATTTATTAATATATGTCGATAACAATTTTACCCTATACTATTACGAGTAGTTTCACCATAGTTTTGACACATACTCAATGACGATGAAACTTAAGATAGTCATATTCCGCTACTAGGTAAATTCCAATAACAATATTTCTTACGATTGTTTACAAATCTAATTAATTAGAGGTACTATATGTGTTGGTATTGTAATTACGCTAACTGATTTGACTATTGATTATCTCTTAATTCCTTTAAAGTATGCAGGCGCAGCAGGGTTGCTAGTCTCCCGATTTTACAGGAGAACTCCTATTTTTCTGAAATTTCTCCTATTGTTCTGTATTTCTACTATCTATCTTCTCTCTTCAGTTCTTTCGACAAAAGCCACAGAAACACATTCATTACGTTCTCTCCATACATCTACGGCTTTTTTCTATAACGCCTCCCTGATTAAAAAAAAAGCGGACCTGGCAATGCTGCGTCGCAGTTTCGGTATTGCAGTCTAGTTGACAGCTGTGCAGACAAACCAAGCAAGTAGGTAATCTCGTGCATTTCAGTTTAAGAGCTGACACAAGGAACCGAGTTTATTATATTATTTATCGAGGAGATCGATGGCGCAAATGATTAACGCGTTCAGCTGCGATAGTGGAAGTTAAGCAACTTTCACAGTGGTCGGTCATTGGATGGGTGACCAAAAATTTACTATCCCAAGCTTCTCCGTGTTGTGAAAGACACTTTAAGCCGTTGGTCCCGGCTGCATGTAGGTAATGAAATCAATCTCCCTATTCCATACAATGGGAAGACCTTTGTGGGGCACAGGTCTTTCCAGTGGGGACATTAATAGGCTGATGGTAATTATTATTTGTTAGTTAGTTATCCATGTCTATTGTAAGGATATCGATATGCCTCTTCAGTAACAGATTGTACAATGAGTAAGGATTACTTACTAAAAATATTTAATGTAATTAACGTAAATTAGCGTTGAGAGATGATATAGTAAACAGCTCAGTCAGTTGTTAACATATAGATCTTATTTGTTTCTTAGGTTTTTACGCACATCATTCATTAAATAAAACAAGTTTCAACGGCAAAGATGCACTGAATAGGGTATTTGACAAGTTTTAGAAAACGATCTCACTTATTGACTAATGTTTATGGAGTCCTCATTCTGTTGTGTATTTCAGTAAAAATAACCAAATCAAAAACACCATTTTCAAGTTGCCGCGAAAACGTTTCTCTGGACAATATGGCGTCTTACTAGTGTGTGACGTCACACGACTGTTATTAAAACGTCAAACGATACAATGTAATGTTACTTTAACCGGAAATTTACTTGCGTGTGACGTCATTTTAGGCTCCGCCAATCCCAAGCGTATTGGGTCAAGTGACAATAGACAAGAAAACTATTATCTTCTTCGTGGGTTTTTAGTAAAATTTAGAATATTTTTTTTGTAAAAATAGTAAAATCCCCTGCCAGTATTCATTCTAAACACAGATGCTAACAATTGGCACTTTATTTTTAATACTGTCAAATACCCTATTATTTATTTATTGATGTTTCGCATCTTTTACAGGATGTGTCTTCTGAAACGTCAATAAATAAATAAATCAGTGCTTAT